AAAAAAAAAAAAAAAAAGATAAATTTAAAAATTAAACTTAAAGCAAAAAATAAGTAAATAAAAATTTAAAAAGTCAGTATCACTGGATTTTTCTTTTTTTCTTTTTTTTTTTTTTTTTGGAGACAGATTCTTGCTCTGTCACCCAGGCTGGCATGCAGTGGTGTGATACCAGTTCACTGCAACCTCCTGTTCCCAGGTTCAAGCAATTCTCATGCCTCAGCCTCCCGACCAGCCGAGATTACAGGTGCATGCAACCACGCCTGGCTGACTTTTGTATTTTTATTACAGACGGGGTTTCGCCATGTTTGCCAGGCTGGTCTCGAACTCCTGACCTCAGGTGATTCGCCTGCCTCAGCCTCCCAGAGCGCCGGAATTACAGGTGTGGGCCACTGCGCTGGCCCAATATCACCGGGTTTGATTTCCCTTAAAAAAAAATTAAGACGGCTGGGCACAGTGGCTCATGCCTGTAATAACAGCACGTAGGAAGGCCAAGGGGGGGGTGGATCACCTGAGGTCAAGAGTTTGAGACCAGCCTGGCCAACATGGCAAAACCGTTTCTACTAAAACTACAAAAATTAGCCAGGCGTGGTAGCAGGCGCCTGCAGTCCCAGCTACTTGGGAGGCTGAGTCAGGAGAATCACTTGAACCTGGGAGGCAGAGGTTACAGTGGGCTGAGATCACACCACTACACTTCAGCCTGGGTGACGGAAACTCCCTCTGAAAAAAAAAATATATATATACACACATATATACACACACACATATATATATAAGATATATATACACACACATATGTATATTAGAGATATATATATATGCCAGGCGTGGTGGCTCAGGCCTGTAATCCCAGCACTTTGGGAGGCCAAGGCGGGCGGATCACTTGAGGTCAGGAGTTCATGACCAGCCTGTCTAACAAGTTGAAACCCTGTTTCTACTAAAAAAAAATACAAAATATTAGCCGGGCATGGTGGCGCATGCCTGCAATTCCAGCTACTAGGGAGGCTGAGGCAGGAGAATCGCTGGAACCGAGGAGGCGGAGGTTGTGCTGAGCCGAGATCGCACCATTGCACTCCAGTCTGGGCAACAAGAGCGAAACTCTGTCTCAAAAGCAAAAACAAAAAATTATAAGACCTAGGCTCAGTGTGTGTCATGAGTCCACATCTGGTGGTAGACAGGCCCGGAAAGAGTTACCAGAGAGGGACTCCTTTCCCGGAAGGCACTTGGCTTACGTAGTTCCCAGAGCTACAGGTCAGGGCAGGTCTGGAAAAGAGCCACAGAAACTCTGAAAAGCACATTCCTGGGGTGCCAAGGCCTGGCCAAGGTTTCCAGAACAGCGTTCCCCAGGCCCCTGACCTGCCTGCCACGCATGGACACGGTCATACATGGCCCTGAGGACTGAGTCATGCTGATAAATTTTTCTGTTTCTTGGTTTCCATCTGTGCTCCTATAACTAGCTCGTAGGGCTCTTGCAAGGATTAAGTTAAAATATATAAAGCGATTAGAGGCCAGGCGAGGTGGCTCATGCCTGTAATCCCCAGCACTTTGGGAGGCAGAGGCGGGAGGATCACTTGAGTCCAGGAGTTGGAAACCAGCCTGGGCCACATAGTGAGACTCTGTCTCTACAAAAAATAAAACAATTAGCCAGGCGTGGTGGCTCACACCTGTGGTCCCAGCTACTCAGGAGGCTGAGGCAGGAGGATTGCTTGAGTCCAGGAGGTTGAGGCTGCAATGAGCTATGATGGTGCCACTGCACTCCAGCCCGATCAGCAGAGCCAGGCTACCTCTCAATTAAACAAACAAAAGGCCGGGCGCGGTGGCTCAAGCCTGTAATCCCAGCACTGTGGGAGGCCGAGACGGGCGGATCACAAGGTCAGGAGATCGAGACCATCCTGGCTCTGTCTCTTATACACATCTAGATGTGTATAAGAGACAGGTGCCTGTAGTCCCAGCT